TAAGTATTGGTTTGAGGATACAGAGGATTATGGATGACATGGATCTGAGGCTTAAGCAGAATTTAAAGAGAGCTCAAGCTATGCTAAAGAATGAGAGTTTTAGATGGTGACGATTAATTTCTGGCAGTATTTTGGGGAATTAGTTGACTTGGGATCTTTTCAAGGCATGTTTTTGAAGTCTCTACATCGAAGAGATACCTACAGTAGCGATGCCAGGAGTTTAAAAATTTGAAGCATGGTGATAAATTCGTAAAAAGGTAATATTTGGGACCTTTTCACTTAAGTTATTCACTGTCTAAGAGCTCATATAGGATCATAAATATGCATTTCGAAGCATATAGTTACATGTGGTAGAATTCTATTTGTCGCGGCATTTTATTTTGTAATCGGTGTTGCTTTAGGGGAAGGTGTTTTGTTTGATGATGTGCAGGATTTTGGAGCAAGGATAAGCAAAAGGGAATTGCCATGACATGATGAGACTACTGAGCAAAATACGATTGCCACAACAACTCGGACGATATTTCTTGGCAGAAAAAAATCAAAGAAGATATTTTTAGTAAGAAACGTGATTTCTGCAATTAGCTATATAGGAGGGGCCCATTACCACCTATGCACCATCTTTCATAGAAAAAGAATGAACTTTAGGGTACTAGGGTAATTTTAAAACAAAACCCTAGGTTCATTCTCTCCCTATAAATAGAAGATGAAGCCACAATGAAAAGGGACACTTTGAACTTTTTGACCAACCGCCAAGAGCTAAAAATTTGGAGAAAAAAGTCTCTCATTTTTTCATCAATCACTTTTTTCTTGGCATTCCTCCGTTGACAAGCTAGAGGGAGTGGCATTCTAGGCGTCCGAGAGGAGCTAGTTCGCTGGGATTTTTCGTGGTGGCCGAGAAAAGCTCTGGCAGTGGACGTCGAAGGCTTTTCCTCATTCACTTTGCTCTTTGCTTTCATATTTTATCTTTTGGGTTGTAAGGAATGAATTAACTTGCTTTGTGCTTGCTTATTTCGAACCCCACCATGAACTAATCCTATTTGGTGGGAGTTTATTTTGGATATTTAAGATTTGCTTCAATGAATGATTATTTTTCTATGTTATTATCTGTTTTGTTTATGGATTTTGCTGCCTTAAGGTTGTAAGAGCTATGAGAGTAGCCTTTCCTTAGGAGATTACTTAGTGTTCGAGAGAATGTCTAGGTAGCATATCCTTAGTATTCGAGATAAACTAGGGAGGAACCACATAAGCAAGGGGTTCTAGATAGTAACTAGGCCTAATCCACCTTAAAGATAAGGCTAGGATTTCATTCGACTAAAAGGAGTTGTGCATGAGCAATAGGTTAGATGTTAATACTGCCGCAAAAAGGTTTTGCCGAGACATATCCTGTTATCTGGGCCAATATGATCACTGCAGAGGTTTACGCCAACCGGTTTTTCCAAGGCATCTTCAATCTATCGAGTCCTTTAACTAGAGATAGCATAGGGCACCCTAGTAGACTCTGTCGGGTAGATAAGGCATAGAAGTAAGATCATTCTGAGAAGTAAACTTAAATTTTCCTTAGTGACTCCTATCACTCATTCCCATAGTAGCTTATCGTGTGAAAAAGTTAAAGTCCTATCAATCAAATCCAATATTTACATTTTATTTTGCCTTTACATTTCTATTTGTTTGAACTCAACACAATATAATTTGCCAAGACATTTCCATCCACTTTGCCACAACATATCCATTTGCTACCATACCACCATCATTTCATTCTCACCAACATCCATTTCATTTTGCCATAACATTCTCATTTGTGAATACCATTAGCTATACTTAGTTACTTTAGAATAGTGCATAAACTTTACTCAATATCTCTCCAATCCCTGTGGAGACGATACTCACTCATCACTATATTACTTGTTCTATTGTGTATACTTGCACATATATCCACACTCATATTTAGTACTCACAAACAGCAGATATAGGGTGATATGTCTGTTATAGATTATGAGATAGAGTTCATCAGATTGAGTCGCTATGCTACTAGACTTGTGGATACTAAGTTGGATCGATGCTTAAGATTCAAGAATAGACTCAAGTATGAGATCAGGATTTGAGTTTCTACCCACCGGGAGAGGAACTTTGATGCCTTGGTTGAGATAGCCAAGACCGTTAAGGAGATAGAGCGAGTGGGTACGTAGCGCAAGAGAGATATAGATCGAGACCGCGACCAATTCAAGAAACCTTCTGGTTCTGTTGACTCTTTTGCAAGCCCCAACAAGAGAGGCAGGGGTGAGTCTTTTTAGAGAGGTGGTGCGAGTGTCATGCCTATGGCATGAGGTTCTTCAGTTGTTCTGCCTTCTAGTCATGGTAGTTCTTCTGGGTTGCAGCCTTTGCCGTTATGTGAGCACTATGGAAGATGCCATTTTGGTGAGTGCAAGAAGAATTGGGTACATGTTTTAGATGTGGTTCTGGTGACCATCTCTTAAGGGATTATCCAGAGCTAACTCCTACAGTTCAGACACCAACTCGTACTATCGTTCGTACTTATAGTATAATTCAGACTCCATTAGGGGGTCGTAGTTAAGAGAGAGCATTTAGATCGACTAGTAGAGGCTGATCTTTTCAGAGTAGGGGTCCAGTCAGATCTGTGGCCAGACAACCTGGGTTGGTTTACACTTCTAGACGTCTTTAGGATTGTGACGATCCATATGTGATTGCAGGTAGTATTACTATTTATTCAGTACCATACTTTGCATTATTTGATAATGATTCTACCCAATCCTACATGTCGCGTTCCATATCTAGTGTCTTAATATTCCTGTTGAAAATACCGAGAGTTCATTAACAATTCAAAGTCTTGTAGGTCAGTCCATAGAGTTGGATCGTATTTATGGAGGGTGTCCTATAGAGATCCATGGGGAGATATTTTTGGCTGACCTAATGGAGTTACCTTTGTAGGAATTTAACTAGATTCTTGGCATAGACTGGTTGAATAAACATCGAGTTAATCTCGATTGTGAGACTAAAAGAGTTGTTCTAAAGACTCCTATTAACCAGAAGATTGTGATGATTGGGGAACGTCGTGGATTCCTAACGAATGTTATGTCTGCTTTGGTAGCTGAGAGGATGATCAATAAGGGTTCTGAGGCAATTTTTGCTTATATTCTGGATACTAGAAGTTCCTTATCTGACATTGAATAAATTTAGATCGTTAAGGAATTTCCTGATGTCTTCCCTGAAGAGTTGCCTAAATTTCCATTGGATAGAGAAGTTGAGTTTGAGATTGAAGTCTATTCCGATTCCACTATGGTTTCAATGACTCTTTACCGTATGAACCTAAAAGAGCTTAAGGAATTGAAAGTTCAACTCCAGGAGTTGTTGGATAAGGGATTTATTCGACCCAATGTTTCACCGTGGGGAGCCCCAGTTCTCTTTGTCAAGAAGAAAGATGGGACATTAAGACTTTGTATTAACTACAGGAAAATGAATAAACTTACGGTTAAAAATAAATATCCTCTGCCTAGGATCGATGATTTGTTTGACCAGTTTCAAGGGCCTTTTATCTTCTCGAAGATAGACTCGAGGTCTGGTTATTACTAACTCAAGGTTAAAGATTTTGATGTCCCAAAAACTATTTTCTGTACTCGATATGGGCATTATGAGTTTTTAGTGATGCTATTCGAGTTAACTAATACTCATAATTCCTTTATGGATCTAATGAATTAGGTGCTCTAACCCTATCTGGACTAATTCATGGTTATCTTCATTGACAACATCTTGGAATAAATTCAAATGGAAGAAGAGCATGATGAGCACTTGAGGATTATTCTACAGACTCTGAGGGAACCCAAGTTGTATTCCAAGTTGAGGAAGTGTGAATTTTGGCTCAGCGAAGTGAGTTTTTTTGGGCATATCGTTTCTACTGAGGGTATTCGGGTGGATCCAAGTAGAGTAGAGGCTATTATGAATTGGAAGAAACCCAAGAGTGTTTTAAAAATTCGTAGTTTCTTGAGCTTAACTATTTAATACCATCGTTTTATCGAGGAGTTCTTCATTATTGCAGCTCCTTTGACGAAACTGTTGAGGAAGGATATTCTATTTGTCTGGTCTGAGAATCAATAAGCTAGCTTTGAGAAACGAAAGACTTTTTTACTCAAGCCCTAGTGTTGATTCAGCTGAGTCTGGGAAAGATTTTTCTATCTACAATGACGCTTCTCACTCTAGACTAAGATGTGTTCTGATGCAAGAAGAGATGGTTGTTGCATATGCGTCACGTTAGTTAAAGTCGCATCAACGTAACTATCCCACTCATGATATGGAGTAAGCTGCTGTGGTCATTACTCTAAAGATCTGGAGACATTATCTTTACAGAGAAAAGTGCTACATCTATATCGATCATAAGAGTTTGAAGTATCTGCTTACTCAAAAAGAGATGAATCTAAGGCAACGTTGTTGGTTAGAGCTTCTGAAGGACTATGATTATGAGATTGAGTATCATCCTAGTAAGGCCAATGTGGTGGCCGATGCCTTAAGCTGTAATACGATATCTGATCTGAGAGCCTTGTTTGCCAGCTTGAGTTTTTTTATGATGACAGTCTGTTGACAGAGTTATAAGTTAAACCAATGTTGGCTGAGGAAATTAAGGCCAAACAACTCCTTGATAGCTCATTACTTTCCGTTATTGAGTAGGTTGAGCAGGGATCGAGCTCAGAGTATACTTTTGATAAGGATGGTATTTTGTGCTTTCATGGTCGTCACTGCATTCCTAAAGATGATGAGTTGATGTGGAATATTCTTCAGGAGTCTCATAGTAGTCCTTATACTATGCATTCTGGTGGGGAGGAATGTACAAGAATCTTAAAGAGCGTTATTATTGGGTTGGTATGAAGAAGGATATTTCAGATTTCGTGGTGAGGTGTATGACTTATCAGCAAGTTAAAATAGAGCATTAGCATCTGTCTAGACTATTGCAGACTATTAAGATTTCGGAGTAGAAGTGAGAGCGTATTTCGATGGACTCTGCTATTGGTCTTCCTCTGAATCCTTCCAAAAAGGATTCTGTTTGGGTGATTGTAGATCGACTCACCATGTCAGCTCACTTTATCCCTGCTCGGGTTAATTATTCTCTGGGCAAGTTAGCTAGATTGTATTTCTATAAGATCGTTAGACTCCATTGTGTTTCGTTGTTTATCATCTCCGACCTAGATCCATGGTTCACTTCTAGGTTCTGGAAGGCTCTGCACGAGATCTGGGTACTTGCTTAAATTTTAGTACAACCTTCCACTTGCAGACTAATGGTCAATCAGAGCGAGTGATTTAAGTGCTGGAGGATATGTTATGGGGTTGTGTGATTGACTTCCGTGGTAGTTGGGAAGATTTCTTGCCTTTAGTCGAGTTTGCTTATAATAACAATGAACATGCAAGTATTCGTATGCCACCGTATGAGGCTCTCTATGGACGTCGATGTGATACTCCTATCTGTTGGACAGAGTTGCATGATAGGAAGACTTTGGGTCCAGAGTTAGTTCGAGAGACTGAGAATACTATCATACTGATTCGTGATCTCTTAAGAGAGGCATTTGATAGGCATAAATCATATGCAGATCAAAGATGGAATGATATCGAGTTTGAGGTTGGGGATCAAGTCTTTCTGAAGGTATCTCTGTGGAAGAATGTACTGATATTTAGACGTAAGGGTAAGTTGAGTCTGAGATTTATTGGGTCGTACCGTATTCTGAAGAGAGTCATATCTGTTGCTTATAGGCTCGATTTGCCTCCCCAGCTCAATTGTATCCATGTTGAGGCAATATCATCCAGATCCGGGTCACAATATTCAGGACGAATATATAGAGTTAAGACCTAATTTGTCCTATGATGAGGAGCACATTCAGATTCTAGATCGAGATGAGAGAGTTCTTCGGAACAAGTGTATTCCGATGGTCAAAGTTCAGTGGAGTAATCGTGCCCCACAGAAATACCTGAGAGATATTGGAGTCGATAGAGACTTAGTTTTCACATATGTTTAGACTTCATTGACGAAATTTCTTTTAAGGGGGAGAGTTTTCACACTCCAAATAGGACCTAAAATTTTCTTAAAATTAATTTCAGGGGTTAAATTGAAATTTTAATTAAATTTGGGGACTAAAGTGATTTTTAAGTAAATTCAAGTCTAAATTTGAAAAGTGTCAAAATTGGAGGGTCTGTGTTGTAATTATACTATTTTCCCTATATATTGGGTTTAAAAACCCTAAAATCCAGAAACTTTCCATTTCTAAAAAGTTTACACTTATTTCATCTCTTCAATATTTCCTCTTTTCAACACTTTCTCTTTTAGTAAGAAATCTTCCATCGACGTTTTGTCGCCGACCGTTGCTCCATTTTTGACACCTCTCGTACCATCGTGTTCCTTACGTCGTCCTGAGTCCACTAGTGTTCACCTTGTCTTCGTTGCCGTCAGCGTGTGAGGGGGTGAGAAAGATCAACTTTATGACATTTTGAAATTGAATTCTCCGTAATTCACCGTTGTGAACCGAGCTTGGTAAGTGTTTCAAAATTTTATTTTAAGCTCATATGAATTTTTACGAAATTTTTAACCCCAAGAACCCCGCACGCGCCACCACGAACCATCGCTGCGTGTGGGGAACGTCCACCGCTTGGTGGGCTTCTAGAAACAGGCCAATCCAACCTGACCTGCATGTCGACTCGCCTAACCCGCTCGATGCAAACCATAATCGACCCAACTGAACCAAATCGAATCGATCCAACCTGAATCGAAACGAACCGGTTCAGTCTGAACCGAACTGAGCCAACCGTCGATTGTGTTGACTTTTTTTTGAAAACCTTCATCTTGACATTTTTCGTCGTTATGAGTCCGATTTTGCGGTTCATTTTGCCAAATTCTCACTCGAAAGCCCCGAATCAAGTCCGTTAATTAAAAAATGCTTCGTATTTTTAGCATTTTTGCTTATTCATTTGAGATTTAATTATGGAATTAATTCGGGAATATATTTTATGAAGGTGATCATGTTTTTCTCGACCAAGGGTCGACTAGATCCGATGCTTCCCGTCTAACACATCTGCACAATCCACGTTCTTCGACAGTTACTCGTAGGTTTTCATAAATTGCTTAAATATAGGTTATTATTATTCATATTAGGATTCTGATATAGATTTTCCGATTCGTAGGATCTAGCACTGCCGCTGATCGTGATAAGCAGACTCAACAGTAGGCTACCTGATCAGACTACTCAGACTGATACAAGTGTGTTTCCTGATAGTGTTACATTACTGTTTTAAACTACTAGTTGAAGTGTTTTAGATTTTTGATGATATTGAATATTTTTACGACATGATACCTGATTTTCTAAATACTATTTATCTGATATTTGATTTACCGTATATTTCTGATATGATATTTGGTTACTGTATTTATGTATATGATTTTTTAATATGCAATATTTTCATGTTTTCAATGAATTAAACTACCATTTTCACTTGAATACATACATATTTATTACTGCCATAGGGGTATTATTGGAGGAAGTATATTAGGCCTAGTCTACGACTTGTATTATTTTACCGCAGACTCATCTGCTTTGTGCACAGTATAAGTCCTTACCGCATGTCCTATGCTATACGTATAAGGCCCTTACCGAGTGTATGATTTTGGGGACCCTACATATTCTGATGATCGGATGGGGTATTGTTCATCTCTGATTTATTCTCATTTCAACATTTTTCTTTATTGAGAAAAAAACAAACCAATATCTGCATTTTACAACCCTTCTTTCCTCGATCAAACCAATGTGAGATGTTGGTATTAACGTGCATTGGAGCTCTGTTCCTTATCTGCATGACACGTTGGTTAACAAATGGAGAAATCCTAGGTATAATGGTGAACTTTCACCAGGTTCAATGGGGTTCCCACTTGTTGGTGAGACTCTTTGGTTCTTCGGCCCATACTCGACTTTTGATATCGCTCCCTTTGTCAAATAGAGGATGAAATGGTTAAAAAAATCAACCAATCTCTATCCCTTTGTAGATCTCCTTCCATTCTTAACATGTTAATTAATTGTTGCTATTACTTGCAGGTATGGGCCAATATTCAAGACTAGCCTCGTGGGGCGACGGGTAATTGTGTCGACCAACTTCGACTTCAATCATTTCGTCTTCCAGCAAGAGGGACAACTGTTTCAGAGTTGGTATCCTGATACATTCACAGAGATCTTTGGACGTCAGAATGTAGGTTCCTTGCATGGTTTCATGTACAGGTACCTGAAGAATATGGTGCTTAATCTATTTGGTCCTGAAAGCCTTAAAAAGATGTTACCTGAAGTTGCGAACACACCTTGCAGAAATTTACAACGTTGGTCAAGCCAAGAATCAGTTGAATTAAAAGAAGCAACTGCTAGTGTAATTTATGTACTTCATTCATGGTTCATCATCCGTGTAAGTTTATTGTCGAGTCTAAAACGATAACTCGGTCCTTTTTTTTTGCAGATGATATTTGATTTAACAGCCAAAAAGCTGATAAGTTGATCAGGACTATTCGTCGGTGAATCTGAGGGGGAATTTTGTTGCATTCATCCAGGGATTAATCTCCTTTCCATTGGATATTCCGGGAACAGCTTATCACAAATGTTTACAGTTACATTAATGTGTTACATATACCAATTTCCTAGCATCAGTTGAGACTTCTGGAACTTGACTGTTTTACTACACAGGGAAGGAAAAATGCAATGAAAATGCTGAAGGACTTGTTAAACGAAAGGCCGTCAGTGCCCCGAAAGCAGCAAACTGACTTTCTTGATTTCGCCATCGAAGAACTTCAGAAAGAGGGAACGATACTCACCGAGGCGATTGCTCTGGATTTGATGTTTGTACTTCTGTTCGCCAGCTTTAAAACAACGTCCCTAGCTATAACTTTAGCTGTTAAATTCCTTTCTGATAATCCTTCAGTGCTGAACAAGTTAACAGTATGTGACATTATATAAAGCTAACATTCTGTAACACCCCAACCCGTATTAAAAACCGAATACGAGTCTAAGGTGTCACATTGACTTTTCAAAACATTTACTCGTATAAAATAGTGAGTAATTTAAAACTTTTATAACATATAACTTATTCAAAACGTTTACAAAACTATTCAGAGCTTATACAATATATTCTTTTGAATACATCCCAACTAGAACTTTATATATTAAAATACATATTCTTCACCTCTCTTCTGATTTGACTTTCAGTAAGGAGAACTGAACTGTCTTGTTCCACATTGCTCTTCACTCCTCTTAAAACCTACGTGTAAATCACTTACACGCTAAGTCTATGACTTAGTGAGGCAATAAATATATAATGTAAACTATAACTTGTAATCATGCATGAACAATTACTGCTATCACATCATACCCAAACATATATCCATTCATATATCAAATCCACACATGCATATAATTATATTCTTTTCTATCATTATCATATTATTACCATTCGTATTTCTATCCTCTTGTTTATATAATCTATTATGTTCATATCATATATCTTATAACATATACAATAATCATTAACACACATATATATCATATCATATAATTCATATCACAAAACATATATATATATATATCACATATATTGTATTCAATGTTATCTCTTATTAGCCCATGCACACCTGTGAGAACTGTAGATATGTGAGTCTATTGAGGTTGTGCACTATGCTGTCACCACAGCTCATAAGGGGTCCCACTAGGGGCTATGAAATTTTATCCCGAATAACCTATGTATTGTATTTGTCCCGAAGGACCACTCCTTAATAACCATATACATATTCCAATGGATCAAATCTGTCTCAAAAGACCCTGTAAATGTTTCAAAGTATACATATATGTCCCGAAGGACCAAGTAGAACCCTCGACTCTTGGCATGCCAACTATACCTATAGCTCTCGTATCATATAACATGGGCATTTTCACTTATATCATTCCACATATACCCTTTCATATCATATGTCATATAAGCTCATAGCTTCTTTCACATATACATGTAGTAACATAGCTTCTTTTCATATTATCACATAGTTCATATCTTATAATTTGTATTCTCATGTTCACATATATCATGTCATATGGCTCATATATTTTCTCATGCAATCACATAGTTCAATTTTACATATGTTATATATATATATATCACATAGCACATACTTCTTATATCATTACATACAAAAGCATGTTAACACATATAATCATGCAACATATACAATAATATGTCACCACATCGACTCATGCACACATATGAACCATAGCAAAAACATACTTCTATCTAGGAATTCATGCATTTTACTATTGGAAATAGACTTGTCGCAAGTCTTATTTCCCATTAAACATCATATACTAAATAATATACACTCACCTGGACCTCACTAAGTTCCAATCCACTTTTATGATTTCCTTTCTTTCGATCGAATCTTAACTTGATAATCGTTCTTTAACTTGATAATCGTTCTGGAACTTGTTCGTGCTCGATATCTATATAATCATACATTGATAGATATAAGTATCCAATTGATATATTTCTAATCTATCATTTCTTAGACCAAAAGAAATGTCTATTTCAATTTCCCCTTGAAGTGCATCGATACATTCTACAATGCATCGATGCATTCTTTAACATGTGCATCGATGCACTACCCATGCATCGATACACCAATCAACTTTGATGTTTTCATTTTAAGGGGGTTCATCGATGCACTCCTTATGCATCGATGCACTAATTACATTCGATATTTCTTCATTAAAGAGTGCATCGATGCACATTGAATGTGCATCGATACACCTGCCCAGAATTTGTATTTTAAGCCTGAAAACCATCAAATTTTCACTCAATTCTTCTATTTTAAGCCCCTATCATGTCATTAAACTCAACTACCATTACTTAAACCAACTTATATCCATATAAACCATCTTTAACTTCCATATCTCATTATGATTCTTAAAATTTAAGAATCTTGCTAAACTTTCAACTTTGTTATTAA